AACTTATTGATAATTCTAATGTAATTGAATTAATTTTCATTTAAAAACAACCTTCTTAATAGTTTCGGCTAATTTATGAAGGTCAAGCCTGTGTAAGTTTTGTTTCAAGTGGAGTTTTTTTTTATTTCAGTTTTCTAATCCGCATATCGTTTATACAGTAGATATGCTAAAACAAAAAGCAATTTCCCACCTGGAAATTCGAGATACAGGGCAAGCATGTGAGAACTCATTTCAAGTAAGTGTTTAAAACTTTATTCATTAAAATTTACTAAATGAGTTTTATGTTTATGGGACTCTTTTACAAGGATTTTTCAATTTTATTTGTAATATATAGGGCTGCAAACTTGTGATGATGCAATACGTCACCAAGTTAGAAAATACTTCAGGAATCAGAATAATTTCTGAAAATAGAGAGGATCCTTGGAATTACAAAATATTCACAAAGTTATGCAATCTTATTATAACACAAGTCGATGCTCAACTAGCTAAAGAGTTGAAAATTGGGTGGCAGGAAGCGTTGCAGTTAGACGAATATGATAATTGAATTTACAGATTTGTAAACTTTTTTCAGTTTTCAAGTACGTGGGTGGACGCAAAACAATCTGACCGTGGGATATGTCCAACAGCATTTGCCACGTGTTATACGGTGAATTATTTTAATCAAATTGAAGTTATTCAAATTATGGTTTTTAGGTTTATAGAAATTTTCAGTTCGGAACTCGAAGTGAATGAACGAATGGCACTCCATTTGAAACAAAACTTGTTCAAACAAAATATTCATCATTCAGCGGAAACGATTAAGCAGGTTGTTTTTGAAAAAAAATTAATAGATTTAAATTTAATATTCTATAGGATTCCAATGAAGGAAAAGTGACTTCAACAACGCAAAACTGCCACATGGCCGAAGATTTTAATGTTAACTTGCCCTAATGCATAAACTGAGATAACGTGCTGTTTCCTGAGTGTAAGATTCAACTCGTGTCTTGTGACCAACGTCGATGGATTTACACTTTATGGAACCGTTGTTTAGCACGCACTTTTACTTTTTCATTGGTTTTTATTTTTCTTCATGTTTAATATCTTGAATCATTTCTTTCTATCTTTCTCTTTTGGATTCATGATAACACATTTTCCTTATATATCTCCTTGGTTCCACCATTGTTCCAATGCTTTTTTAATATGCAACTGGTCGTCAGTTCCGTCTCACAGGAGCCAGAACTCTTATGCATTCGATATATTCACTTTTTCATGTCTGATACCAACGTTTTGATCTCTTGAGCACTTGGTTTCAAGGTAGATCCATTAATAAAGGCAGAAGAGCAAGCAAATGTATGAGATGTTGAAAAGATTGAAGTTCAGTTGAAGT